ATTTTCAATTAAGAAAAAAAAATAGTTGGTATCACACGAATTTTTTTATTTGAAATAATTTAATCACTTAAGCATGCCATTTTTGAAATTAGAATATGCGCAGTTTAGTCACTCAGAGTATGAAATGGACAAGAGTTGAAATAGAAGTCAAAGAACAAATGAGGTCAAATTTTTCATGTAGCAATAGTAGCGAACAATTTTAACGACTGACTACCTACGTACTAAATTTATACGTAATTGATGCTACAATATCTTGAACTTTTAGTAAACAGTTTTGCATAGTTTTCACTTTTTCTTTACATTTTCATATGAATGAAATAATCTTAACAATTTTATTCATCAAATTCGTTTTCTGATAATTAATTACAATTGCAAGGATCAAATTTTTGTATAGTTTAACAGTCATTACCATTTTGAGTGATTTTTTAAGCAAACAATATTTATGTAAATTGATCATAGATATTACTTGAATGCAAATTAAATACGCTCATTACAAGTAATTTTTATCTTCTATCTTTTTATACATAATAATTTAAGTTCGAATTGTAAGCACTTAAAACATTTAAAAATATGAATAAAAAGTTTTTTAATTAGCAATCATTCCCACCCTCACTTAATTATGCATTATTTCTGCTTTATTCATTCAGTTTTTAGTTTTCATTTTCTTGCTTGCACTCACTACTACATTTATCTGAGTTCATATATAAGGTCACAAAAATATTTCTCTTTTTCATTTGTGAAAAATTAAAAAAAAAAAAAACGCATTTTATGCAGCAAATTTTCTATTTATATATAGAAGCGATAGTCGGAAAAGAAGTAATTTAAATAAATATAATACACATTTGAATATATAAATAGTACTAGTCTAAATGAAATTTTTAAGAACAGAGTTATTTTTTCCCTTGCATTCTTTTTCTTTACTTTGTTAATTACATTCATTAATTATAGAAACAGTTTTTGAATTTTAGCAAAGATTTAAATAATTTGTAACTTTCACTTTCATTGCATATTTGCATCACAAAGAAATGTAAACAATATACACGAGCAAAGAAAGTAATACAAATACAATGAAAGAGTGTAGTAAGTAAAAAGCAGTAATTTAGACTTTAACATCAAAACAAATGTAATATAAAGTCCAGCAAAGCAAAGCAAAGCAAATGTATAAATTGAGGAGAACTTACTTTGATGCATAAATCCAGTTGCCTTAAATGTTCACATTGATTTTCATTGATTGTGACAACATTATCTTTGAGCTCATATAGTGTCCAAGCCCATTCATCCAGAATATTTATGAAACATCTCACTAATGTTATATAATCGCAGGCCTTAAAATTAATAAACAAATAATACAAAAAAAGATTAGCACTACGTAAAAGATACTACTACCATTTATTTGTTTTTGCTAACTGCTATAACATTGAAGCATTATATTGCTTCAGAAAGTTTGCATCTAAAAGTGACTAACCTGTGATGTAATTGGAATACAGCACGACAATAACAAAACACAATATGCAAATTTCATCGGAAAATGAACAATTTTGTTGGTCAATTGCAATAAGCCGTAATACGTAATAATGGTTTGGCCAGATCAACAATGGTCACAACAAGCTTTCATGGAATTTTTTAGTACTTCATCCCGTTTTTTGTTTTAAATAATTGAAGAACCAAAAAACAGCGATTAAAGAGCAGCTTTCTTTCCGATAATCTCACACAAGCAGGTTATAATTATTCAGTTATGAGAAAATATGTTTCGGGTACTACTGTAACAATAACCAAAATTTGTAGCAGTAATAATAACGATAATAATAATAATAATAATAATAATAATAATAATAATAATAAAAGTGTATAAAATTTTCAATAAACAGTTAAAAACGTCATAACTTTAACAATCAAAGATTCATCATTTTCTATTGCCATTTTGACAAAGCGAATATATTTTTTTGCAAGAAGAGCTACTAGAGATAAGGTAAAATTAACTATTTCATACTCAAAAAATCAAAAATATTGTAAAAGTGGCTAGCAAAGTATGAAAGCAAGAATGAGATAGCAGTAAGCAGAGTACGAATGTGCTACAAGCCAATATAGAGAGTTCTTAAATAAAGCATGTTAGTCGATGCATCAGTGCAGTCAAAAACAAAATCAAATACTAAGATTCATTGCAAACTTTGCAATCCTTACTTCACACGTTAGTTTCATTCTTATGACGTAAAGAAGCGACTATCAGTGCTGTATAGAAAACCTTAAAAAATAGCTAATGAATAAAATGAAGTTTTAAAGTTGCCATTTTTATGGCAAGTCAATTTTATATTATTTTCACCATAAGTCCAGAGTTTTTTCATTACACATATATATAATTTCCAACATGTAAACAGCTGTATAATAATAGCTTCTAATAGAATTACAGAATATTTATTTTTTTGCATTCAAAGATCTTCTTGTATCATTAAATTAGGCACGCAACGAAGTGATGCACAATATTCACAAAATTTACGTATGAAATAACAAAATGAAGAAGAAGGACATTAGTGACGTTAAGATAAATAGTTGATCTACTAACAAGTATTATCGAAAATGCTAGGTAATAATATGAACATAAAGGATTTAAATAAAAAAACAAATACAAGTATACTTACATAATGGGAAATTTTTTTTTCTTCAGCAAAGTTCTGTACAATTACAACTTCAAGTTTTTATACCCCTTTATTTTCAATTTTTTTATAGCCAGTGGCAAACTATCAATTCACAATTAGATAGTAAAATAATTATAGCAGAAAAGTTTCTCAGCATAGTTCAACGTTTTCGACAATGAATTTTAAATATTATTATATAAATAGATTTAAAACATTTATCTGTGGTAGGAAGAAGTAAAAGCAGCCAAAAATTGAAAAATATTGTTTAAGTAATCTGATTCCGATACCTTCACTTTTCGCTAATGAAGTAGAATTTTATTAGATTGTAAAAAGAGACGTTCATTGCGAAGTATATATTGTGAGGTGCATTTGTCTTTTCAAGAAATTCTAATGCAACAAACTTCCAATTTTAAATAATAAATTGTATCTAAATTACAAGTTGTAGCAGACTCTTTTTAACTTGAAACAGATATGTTTCACAAAAAAGCAAACCTTAAAAAACAGTTATGATTAGAAATGTGTAAACTAGTATTTTAGACAAAATTAAAAATTTTTTAATACGAAAATTGATATTTAATACATGCAAATAGTGAACAGATTATGTGTTTTGTTTACTACAACAATCCAACAGAATGTACTGAGTGATTCTTATGAGTCATTCTGATAAATACATCAGTATTTAGCATTTTAATTAATATTTTTAACTTTAAGAAAGGCAAAAAAAGCCATTTGTTACAAAGTTCATCAAAATTTTGTAGCCAAGCAAATAATTATAAGCATGTATAGTAGAAGTGACAATAACTGTTTAAAAATTCATCAGATGTGGTGGTAAGGCTAGTTCAGAAGTTATCATAGATTAGATTGAGGGTAATGAGAGTCTTTTTCAGCATCTATAATAACGTTGGGTGACAGCAACATCAATCAGGCAGATAGAAAAGAAGCAGTAAGTAATTGCTGCTAGAATCAATTTTCCGGAAAACACTTCTGAAACTGAATGATGAGTAAACTAAAATGTTTTTGCAAAAAAAGAAAAAAAGAAAAAAAAGAAAAAATGAACTTGCTTTCGTTTATAATTGAAAAAAATTTATTCAAGCTTGTAGTCATTTTCGATTTTAAATATAAATATAAGTATAAAAGTGAAAGAAGGAGTAAGAGAGTGAAAAAAAAAACAGTACTACTAAAAATTGTTAGAGTTAAAAATTGCTTATGTTAAGTTTGCATTAATTAATATTTAAATAAAAAGAATATATTTAATTTTATATTAAAACTTTTTCAATAAATTAAAATGCAGCAAAACAAAAAAAAAATTAGCAAATCATTTTGAGCAATTTTCAATTTCTGCTTTTCATTCTGTTTTAAGTCTACTTCATTTTTACATCATTTACAGCAACGAACGTGTATATGAACGTCAATTGCCACAATTGAAACTTCTCATTTTTTGTTTTCTCTTAAAATAACTCAATTTAATTTACAACAAATGCTTCACAACATCAATATCCTTTTCAACATACTTTACATCTATCTTCTTTAACTTTCATTTCATTACTTTTTGCGCTCATTATGCAACATTTTTTCTCACAAAATAACAATTTTCTTCTTACTATCTTCAAACTTTTCTTGATTTCTATCACATTACATTAATGAAATTAACTATAATGCTAAATTTATATCACTGTCTATTAAAAATTTTCTTCCAAAAATAAACATGAAAGTTAGTTTTATCTACATTGCTTAAGATTTATGATTAAAAAAACAGGTAAACAGTAATAGTAATAATAATAATAATAATAATAATAATAATAATAATAAT